GAGGTCTGCAATGTGAGTTATTGTGATCGATGTGCGGAGTTAAATTCTAGATTAATCTATCTACTGGTCTGGTGCAGCTATCTGCAGATACCCGACTTCGAGAAGCATCCATGGATGATCTACGCAAATGAACAATGTAAGTTCGCAGATATGGTGTAATCACCTGGCAAATGAGAAGGATGCCCCCCAAAGCCAGCTCTTAATAATGCCCGTTGATAATAATTCGAATCCTATCATTTTCGGTCTAAAACTCAGGATTCAGCATATAAAGCCCCACCACGGTCGGATCCTGGTCGGCGGGTTCATATGTGCCGATCCCTTCCCAGCCACTTTATTCAGCCAGCAAATGGGCATGGTACTAGGGTGCACGACGCGGCGCTGACCGACGAGTTTATTGGTAAGTCTTTGTTTCATAGTTTGCTCCTGATACCGTAATTGACCTTTGTCTCAATAGTGGAAAGGGTGGAGGGATTTCCAATCCCAATATCCCGAGAGAAAATAACCCCGCTAACCTTGGAACTGGCCATACAGCCCCTCCAATTAATTGAACGTATGCACATTATGCCCCTTGCCATTCGACGCCTCTCCCGCAGCAGCCGCAAAGATAGGCCTAGCGACAGTATGCGGCTGATTTTTCCGGGGAATGGGTTCTAACGGGATGGATTGGGGGCCACGTCAACTCTCAAGAATGGGGCATGAGTTGGCTTATCGGTTGGTATTGGACGAGTCGGGATTTGATGATCACTGTGCTCTACCGGAGGGAGTGTCGTCATACCGTCAGCAGCCATGCCAAGGCGGAGGAGCTTCGATTTTTGGGTTCGAGTGGCGAGCCACGGCGATAGCTAAAATTAGTTATTACCAGTGGCGCACAGGACGCGTTTGGCCCCTACATGACTGCAGGTAAAGCGATTCCGGGCCTAGCCGCCAAACTATCCCAAAAGCCGAGAGCAAGGGTTGAATATTGAGGTATGTGGGAAAAAGGATGGAGTGTACAGCGTACAATGTAGAAAAGCGTAGAAACGATACTCAGTTGGGCGAGATATTATAAGGTATAAATCTACAATATATATATATAAATATGTACCTGAGTCCTTGGGAGGCCCACAGAAAAGTGCAGATGATAGGCATACAACATTCCCCATTTGGAACTACACTCGGAGCAAACAACTACGGGGATCACAGTATTAACCTGGGATTAAATGATAAATGCCAATATCCGGTCACATTAATCACATCATTTTTCAAATTGTATAGAAGGCAAGAATGTGAGATAATATAAACATTCATCATCTAATCCATCCAATATATCCAAATCAGTAGGATAATATTTAAATTGCCAGTATAAACTCAAGTAAACACTGCGGGGAACACATGGTGGGCTAACCATATTAGGATCGTCAGCTGACTAGTTTGTCCGATTAATCTCGTCCTCATTTTCTTTTTTTTTTAATTTTTTTAATTTTACTTTTTCTTGTTTTTTTTTATTTCGCTGCATCGCCCAGCCATGGCGCTTTTCCTTCCTTTCTAATTGTATTTACTCGTCCTTCATTTCCCCCCTTTATCTTCTTTTCCCCCTTTATAACATATGCGGCTTTGAACTTTCCGCTATACCTAGAGAGGTGTGACCCTTAAACGGGTCTTCCCACGCTAAGGCCATTTAGGCCTGGAGGCTTAGTTTGGGGGTTCCCAAGTCTTATCTTTGGCCGTTAAATCTTGTGACTCCGACCCCCCCACCCCCCGGAGGAACTCAACGTTCCCGGCCTTCCAAGGTTCCGTTTGCGGCCGAGTCATCCTCTCCCCCCCAACACCTTTTCGATTCCAATGATACACGAGTCCGGTCTATCGACCATGTCAACAATGTTTCAAGATGCAAGCGACAATGAATATACAAAAAAAGAGGATGCAGAGAGCCGTCTTTCGGTAGACGAGCTCGTACCTTCCATACTTAATCCCGAGTCGCCACTGCCGTCTCTCCAGATTCGCACCGATCTACCCAGTATTCAACCATCCAGCTCGCGCGATTCCGATCCTTATGCTTCGACTAGTTTGTCCGGAAGTTATCCACGCCGTACCCCGAGTCTTCGTGCCCTCATCGCTCCACCTATATACAGTGCAGGTTCCTTATCACCAGCATCCATCATGTCCTCGCCTCAATTGAATGCGATGGGTGACATAACTCCATTGCCGTCGCCAATTGGAGGGGCCTCGCCGTGGCGGAAAGCCGACCTGCCGTCATTATCTCGTTCATCATCGGTGGCGTCGCGCAGCGGTTCCAGCCTTCGCCTGAGCGATTCATCACAGATGCTTGGGCCACCCGTCATGCCCCGTTCGCGCGCCAAACCATACACTGGGATTGATGGCCAAGGGGAAGAGTCATCCATGAGCAATTGGCGTCGTCGCGACTCGTCCTCAAAGCATTCTCATTCTCGGAACCGCAGTCTCAGTGACTATGCGCCACCCGGCCGCGTCTCTGTTGCTCCCCGTCCGATTGCTGTGTCAGGGAACACCGGGCTTGGCATTGCCTCGTCGTCGAGCATAGATTCAAAGTCCAATGGACTTCATCGCGAGCAGTATCTCGCTGTCCATCGAGGTATCGCATTGCCGACCGTTCGTCCTCCCAGCCCGCCTCGCAGCAGTGGCAGTGGATATAGTGACAATGAACCCGTCATCCGTCACCCTGCCCCGCTATCCACGCCCCAGGAGATATATTCTGTCCGGTCGGTCCGCACAGAGCAGGCCCGTATTTACCAGAAAGTCCGGACATTGGGCCAGGGCACGTTCAGTCAGGTCAGTCTGGCGGCACGTGTAGAACCTATCCCCGACATGCCTTTGTCGCCGGATGGGGATGGAGCTGGCGCGTTCCACGGTTTTGTCAACAACCAAAAGCTCGTCGCTGTCAAAATCATCGAGCATGGACCCGCCGGTGGTGCAGATGAGGGCCGGCTGGAGGTGTCGCTCAAGCGCGAAGTAGAAATCCTGAAGTCGGTGAACCATCCGTCTCTCGTCCAACTGAAAGCATTCGGCAGCGATGAAAAGCGTGCTCTGTTGGTTTTGGATTATTGTCCTGGTGGGGATTTGTTCGAGTTTGCAACGTCAGGAGCTCCTCGTATGTCTGCGGATTTGATCCGACGTATTTTTGCCGAATTGGTGGACGCTGTGCGTTATCTGCATGCTCATTACATCGTTCACCGGGACATCAAGTTAGAAAGTGAGCCAGCGTTGTTTGGCAAAATACTGCAGACCTTATACTGACCATGTCTAGATGTTCTGCTTACCATGCCCGCTCATGTTATGGACGACGTGCAAGACTGGCGTACCTACGACCGCGCCGTGGTCACCCTCAGCGATCTCGGACTGTCTCGGCGCATCCCTGAACCGCCCGAGAGCCCGCTCCTGCATACCCGATGTGGCAGCGAAGACTACGCAGCCCCCGAGATCCTGATGGGCCAGGCTTATGATGGCCGTGCCACCGATGCTTGGGCACTCGGTGTTTTACTCTATGCCATTATGGAGAATCGGTTACCCTTCGATGTTCTGCCTGGCACTCGAGGAGATCCCGCCAAACTTCGTGCCCGCACTCCGCATCGTATCGCACGTTGTGAATGGGCTTGGTATAGATATGCCGACGAAGAAGAGGAATGGGATCCCGAGAAAGGTAAAGGACTTGAAGGGGCCCGTGACTGTGTAGAAGGCCTTCTCAAGCGCAACACGAAGCGTAAAACCCTTGATGATATTGCCGCTATTGATTGGGTGCGTGATGCTATCGATGTGCCTGGTGGTCTGAAACGAGGCGACAAAGAAGTGCCATAGAGCCGGTCTCCGATGTGCCTTGTTGTCCCGTATATTGTCCTTCTTTTTCTTCCCTTTTTTTTCACCTGTCCGACGTTCATTCTCCTCTTCCCTTTCTTGACTCACATACCTTTTCTTCTACTCCTTTTTTTATTCATTCTTATTATTCACGAGACACGATGACTACATGAGTCATTATGTGGATTGAATGCTATGTTTTTATGGCTAGACCGGTTTTTATACCCTTTTTTATATACAACTACATATGTACCTCCAAGAGGTAAGACACGGAAATAAATACAAGATACAGTTCCCTTCTGTCCCCTGCTGCAGACATCCCAACTGGCGATGGTCACGATGTCATGACTCGTGACCGAATTAGTCAAAAAATATCCTCTTGGCCTCCGCATCCATGTTACACAGGGAGAGCTAGAAAGATAGATGTAGTCACACACCCTCCAACAATCACTTTGACTGGCATGGGAGCTGCGTGACCTTCTATCGGAACACACTGTTTCCGTACCTTAGGCGGGTCTTTTGCTTCTAAGTCAAGCATGTTCATACGTGTGACGAATGACAATAGCAATCAGATCACATAATTCATGGGTGACTCAGTATGAATAAGCCAGAGCTGTGGTTCGTGACTTGACCGCTATCAAGGGGCCTACTAAGCTATTGACAGGCCGGCATCTAGGCAACTTGATGCCTACCACATGGGGCTAACAGGGCATTGAACAAATGCACTAACAATGGGATTCAAGCCGATGTCATGTCTCAGTTTCAATGTAGACAGTTATATGGCGTCAAACGGAAATACAGCACTTTCCCAGTAGAGCATAACAAAACCCAAGGTTCCTGTTTAAGGCCTAGGGGGCCATACTCCTAGTTTGACAGTTTGCCAAGTCGGTCTCTGAATCAGTTTGTCCAAATAACATTTTCCTCCGACAGTGAATTAATACTCTCTCTTGTGATGCCCATTGACATGAAAGAATGGGGATTTCTTGAACCCACCTTGCAGACTTCCTAAAGTTGTTATGATCTTCGGCAACTTTGACCGATAAAAAAATAGCGCTACGGTTAGTTCCCCGGCACCCCATCAGGTCAAGATACCAGACCCCGCAGACGAATTTGCATACAGAGAAACACGCTCTTTGTTGCCTCTTCTGTCGCAGACTCTACTTGACTGGACTCGCGCCCTCGACACCTTCGAAATGAACAACATGCAATACCTCGATAACGATACCGTTCATCAATTATTGATAAACCTCACCAAGGACGAGGCTATCAGTTTCCGAAATACTATCGAGCAAACGTTAGCGGAATTCTCTACCGGTGGCGAGCGTCAGTACCAGCCCAATCCCAGTGCCGTAACCCGCCCCAATGGCTCACGGGCTCTCTTTCGGCCTTTTACTTCGAACCAATGTTTCGGCGCCAAGCTCGTGGTCACTCCTCCTCCTCGCCCCGATGGGAAGAAAGATTCTCTGCATGGTATCCTGATCCTGACGGATGGTCTGGGAAATCCTACTGGTGTGATAGGTGCAGAGGAAGTGACGGGCTACCGAACCTCCATGAACGCCATGGTGCCATTCTCTTGGAGGAAGAATGTCGACAATATTGTCATTTTCGGTGGTGGTATGCAGGCCTTGTGGCACACTCGTCTCATCCTCACTCTGAGAGGTTCTGAGGTCAAGAGCATTACCTTTGTGAATCCCTCCAAGGATCGGGTAGACGCACTCATTGCAACCGTGTCTAAGGAGAATGAGGCTCGCTGGAAGTCAAACTGCTCTTTCCATTTTATTCATACCTCTGCCCCGGATTTTCATCAACAAGTCGAAACTCGTCTAAGCGACATTGACTGCGTTTTCTGCACTACCCCATCTAAAATCCCACTTTTCCCTGCTAGTTATCTGACCAAGCGGGAGAGTAGCAGTCGTCAACCTTTCATTTCGGCCGTCGGATCCTGGCAATCCGACATGATTGAGCTGGATCCTGCATTGCTGCATCATGCTATCGCCGTAGATGGGGGGTATAATCCTGTCACTGGCGAGGCCCAGGGAGTGGTGCTAGTCGATGACCGGGATTACGCTCTTCTCGATTCCGGTGAGGTGGTTCAAAGCAAGTGCACAGCCGAGCAGATGGTCGAACTTGGACAGATTATTGCTCTGAGGAGCGCGAAGCTTCAAAGTGTCCACCCCAAACAAGTTGAGCAGACGAATCGGTTTATCTCGGAAGGGTTTGTTGTCTACAAAAGCGTCGGCGTCAGCCTTACAGATTTGACGGCGGCAAATGCCATATTGGCCCTGAGGGAGAAGAAGAATGATCACCATTTGTGAAGTAGCTAGAGCATTACAATCACGATAACCTAATCATCCCAATGGACTGCATTTTCCGAGGTTAAACTTTGAATGTCACTAGCAATAGGGGGAGGTCCTTTACATGTACCTCTGAAACAGCCAAATGACTTCTCTATGAATCTCTCGTACGATAGGAGAGCCCTTAGACCATACTCTTCGTCGGTGGTGATTGGGGTCAGTACCGTCTTGGATGTAACTCGAGTCAGCTGAATACCAGATATTATGGGTCATCATGGCATTGGAGACCCATTCCACATCATACATCTCAATGGAATCTGCTGTATTTTACCGAGTATCCCGGAACTGTTCAGGTGTTTTTTTGAGACTCCCCGACCTGGAACCTGGACTCAGCCCTGGAGGGAATATTAAATTATGTAAGCTACTGGGTCTCCCTGAAGGTGCCGGGCTGGGGGCCGCCCGGGATGGGGCTGTGCCTCGTACTCGGACTCCAGCCTATCAAAACCCAGCGGAGCTGAATTCGATGGAGAATCCGCGTGATAAGAGTGGTTGCTAAGCGTATTTGGCGTGAAGAACCTGCATAACTCCTGCATCCTTGCCTTTTGCTTTCTGCCTTACATCAAATGTACGAGGTGCAAGGATTGGGGCTCTTGAGTTTTAAGTATGGGATAGCCGTATTGGATCCAAGCACTCCATCCATTCCACAGACTGAGTTGGAATATACACCATGGCCTTTGGGCGTTCGAGTCGCTCAAGGAGACCATCATCTCCAACACCCCCGCCAAAACCACCACGGCCGAATCAGCGAGAGAGCGCAATAGGGGTACCGCAGAACTATGTCCACCCTCCGTATGCGGCGCCAGCGGGGGCATATTCAGTGAACACATTTCATACAGCTGCAGTCCCATATAATCAAAATCAAAATATGGCGATGTCCATGGTTCATCTACAACCTCAGCCAGCACCGCATCCAGTTCATCCTTTCCCAGGAACTGTTCTAAGCAGTCCGTCATGGATACCCCAGCCACCGAGACCCTCAAAATGGACCTCATGTACGAATCTGAACCAATCAATGACCAGTTTAGTATCGCATACAGTCGAAAAAACCAATGCCACGATTCTTGATCTTGAGCATTTGGTCCGCCAAAGTTTGGGTGGAGGTGCGAACGTTACGGAGGCCACATCGCGGTTATTAGATCAAGTCATAACCTCGATCGACCTGGGGTCATTTTGTGGGAGAGAAAATGAACTGAGTAAGTGCCATAGTTCCGATCATATATGAAAATATACTCATTAGAGATAATAGTTGCCGCTTGTACAATTCCTCCCCAGTCAGGTGAGAAGAAAGATCGCCGATCACAGCGAAAAGGGAAGAAACCAACCGGATCTGTGGATTACTTCTCCAAGGTGTATCTATATGCCAATTCCCGATTACCACCGCATTTACCAGCACTAAAATTGTAAGATCCTCCACACCCAGGTACTATTTGACCCAACTAGCTAATCTCCCATTAAGCTATCCTCCAACATATCCCCTCCTCCAACTCGCAGCCAAGTACTCACGCCGCGTCTACGACAAACCTTCAGGCCGTGAACGACATTCATACGTCGACTCAGATTGGATACATGGTACCAAAGCCATGGTAGTCAAATCACTACCGATCGATGACATGAACACGATCGTCTTCGCCATACGTGGCACGCAGAGTTTCATAGACTGGGCCGTGAATGTCCGGGCAGCACCAACCTCTCCAACGGGCTTTCTAGACGACCCGTCCAATTCCTGTCACTCAGGATTCTTATCCGTAGCCCGGAAAATGGTCTCTCCCGTTGCAGCCCGACTGCGTAATCTTCTCGAAGAAGATCCCACACGAATGTCCTATTCACTAGTCTTCACGGGCCATTCCGCAGGCGGTGCCGTCGCCAGCTTACTATATCTACATCTCCTATCCGAGTCTCCAGTCGTGCAATCCGAGCTCACCCATCTCCGCGGCTGCTTTAAGCACATCCACTGTGTTACATTCGGTGCTCCGCCTCTATCTCTTCGTCCGTTACAGCCCTCTCCTACTGCTCGGGGATCAAAATCCATGTTCTTCGCTTTTATCAACGAAGGTGACCCGGTCTCGCGTGCGGACAAGAACTATTTTCTCTCGTTGCTAGATCTGTATGTTTCACCCGCTCCGGGATCACTACTAGCCTTGTACGACAGGAAGAAGAAATCCGCTCCTATATACTGGAGGATTCCCTCATCTGATCTGTCGCTCGCTGGTCGGCTTGTTCTTCTTCGTCCGCGAGACCAGCCGAATAGCCGCCCTGTGTTTGTAGCGCCGCCGGTCCCTGGTGGACCGCCTGCACTGCCACCGAGGGAAAATGTGGATGCTTGTGGGATTACAGATACCGAGCTTCGAGGTGTGGTCTTTGGGGACCCTGTGATGCATTTTATGGACTTGTATTCCCGTCGTATTGATGCCTTGGCTAGAGGTGCCTTGAGCAGGCAATCATGATGGATCGTAATATGTATTAGGGCGTACTGTACGGAGACTTTGCATCCATTAGCGAGCTATTGAGATACCCAATACCCATTTACTGTTTTGATATTTGCGGAAGATCTCTTCGCTCGCTGTATTATTGGCAATTGCTATCCTTTGAGGCAATGCTCTGTGTATGCCTTTGTTGAACTGGTGTCTCGGTAATAATAGAGACCAGCTCAAAGCGACACGTTAAAAGAAACAAAGAAAGGGACTAAAGACTAAGATCTTCAAAGATCAATGGATTGTTGGTAGTCTCTACCTCCACAAATATATAACTATCTACTCAGCTCCTAAATATATATCGCCAAGATCGTAGGCCGACCTTAAAACCAACGCAACAGAATCCTCAAATTTACTACACAGTATCTATATCCATTCCATCTACTTAAACTAGTGAAAAGAACCCTCAACATGTGCGTGCAAAACTATGACATGTGGACAATGTGCAACTGCATCCATTTCGGACGAATTGAACGTTGTGGAGAGTTTGGCATGCCGTTTTCCCAACGAGAACGATGTACAGGACGTGTTCTACGAGCTCTTAATGTCGGCATTATTGGAATTCCCGAAGACCGACTTCATAAAAAGGCAGGAATGTGCTCGAGGTGCTCGGAGAAATTGAACCGAGAGATGTGGGCGCTTCGTTGGGAATGGACGTCTCGCCAGAGTGAAGAGTGGGCGGCGAAGGAGGCAAGCGGGATTGAATAGCGATACAAAATATGACAAATTGAAAGGTAAGATGTTGTCTTCTTGTTTAAGTCAAACTTCAATTACTACGTTTCTAAACGATTTTACAAAATGTGTTATGGCTGCTCAAAGTAGTGCTGAATGTGGAAGACCCAATGGTTTATCACAATGGTTCCTTCTTTGCAGGAGATGGGCTCTGTGGATTCCTAAACACATTGTTCGGATCAATTTGCTCTTTGATCTGCTGTAGTCGGGGGAGATTGGTACCCCAGTATGCCTCGGCGGCGTTGGGCATAAGAGGATCAACGTAACCCGGGTAGGCATTATAGGGAAGCACGTCATTGGTGACGATCTTGTTAAGTCCATCGAGAAAGTTGATCTGGGGCTGGGAGATATTTCCCACTAAATTGATTGTGTAGGACTGTAACCAGATGAGGACGTCACGGTGGGCGTAAGATGTAGCATTAGTTGAAATGTCATTGGTGTAACCTCCCTGGAAATCGAACAACAAGAACCAGCCCAAAGTACCCTTGTCGACAGTACCAATGTAGTCAAACATTTTGTCGATAGTCTCCGGGGCCATCAGGGTTTGGGGAGTCCAAGAAGTAGATTTTGCGTAGAAATTTGTTGGGATTCCAGCCGCCAGCCCCAAAATAGCATCTTGTGCCCAGTGGGCGACAAGACCTAACCAGTTATCAAAAACCAATGCACTGCCATTTGCACCGGGGAACTTGCTGCCAAGGTTTAACTTATCATACTCTTCCTTGGTGCCGAAGAAGGTACCACTGATTGCCATACTCTTCTCAAGCACAGTGAGCGTAGACGCCATCTTTCGAGTCAGCTTCGGATCTGACACGAAGGCCTGCCAGCTCTTAAAAAGGGCCGCCTGCTGCTTGAGATCGCCAAACTCTATGCTGTATTCATACTGCACCGCAGTACCAGGTTCAGGCTCAGTTCGGACCTTGAACTCTGTGACGATACCGTAGCCGGAGGCAGCACCTTTGATGGCCCAAAAGAGATCCTGGTTGTCCCTGTCTGAGGCTCTAACAATGCTCGAGTTCGCAAGAACCACCTCAACCTCCAGTACATGGTCAAGTGCGGCACCAAATTGACGCGAAGTCGGCCCAAGACCACCAATTGTGAAATGTCCCCCTGAACCGACCTGAGGGCAAATTCCGTGAGACATAGCCCGTCCTCCGGCGTGATACAGCCGCTGTGTCACGTCACTTAGCAAACTCCCCGCCCCAATTGTCGCTTGCCAGGATGCATTGTCCATGGAGAATTGTTGGAGATGCTTCAAGTCAATCGCAACAGCACCGTCTGTTCCTCCACGGCCTGCCACGAATCTCATGTTAGTCTTCAGGTTAAACTCCTTTGAGTTAGGGGTTATCTCAGAATCTCACCGTAATTGCCATAGCTGTGCCCTCCACTTTTGGCTTGGACTGGATATTCGTTCTCTGCGGCACATTGGACAATAGCAGCCACCTGCTGAGAAGAACTGTGGTCCATGAGCAACGGACATAATGAATCATTTTCTATAAAGACACTCACGTTGGAAAGGCCACTGCTGCTGGAGTAACGGGAATGTTCAGATTGTAGCGATTCACAATGTGGTCATAGAACAGATCACCGGCTAGGGCAAAACTCCCCCCCGCCTGTCAGGGCATTCTTGAAGCATGACCTCAATGCCTCATTGGGGCTAGCAAGAGCCACCGATCTGGTCCCCACTACCAAAAAAAGCAGGTTTAGAAACATGGTGAGTATCTGCAGAGTGTGCCTTCGGCCGCTTTGGATGTGGAAGGTAGATAAAAAAAGAAGAGAGGAAGGAGCTGAGAGGCAGATATCTAAACCAGGGGACCACGTCACGTAGTCCAAACAGAATTCATGCTTCAAGTGAGAATATCATGTCAGATATGACTGAGTGATTCGGTTTCAAGGCCGAAGAACTTTCGTTTGCCTTCATGAACTGAGCGGGTGATATTGAGATGTTTCGAGGTTCAACACATCTACAAACAAAGGTTCAGTAGGGGAGGGTACACAATATTCGTGACTTGTTGGTCTAATTAAAAACCAAGAGCTGCTCCAAGTCAAACCAAATATACAAGGGGCTTGGTCAGGTTTGTATCGAAAACCGCCTCGGCATAGACATCGTGGGCTCAATGATGAAGGCACCCTCCTTATACAGCAAGTTTCCCCTACCCTATACAATTTCATACCTGGATAGAAGCCAAACCCCAAAACCCAAGTCAAATATTAATCCTCGTCAAGCAAAATCCATCCTCTACCATTAATTTTGTGCCTAGCAACTTAGGTTTGACATGCGAACTGCATAACTATGTAAGGCATGTACCAGTCTACTCTACTACCAGCGATATTAGCGGGAATAGCCCGATCCCACACAATGTGTTTGGTTGAAGAATCTAAAATTATACCGAAAGAAATACTATTTATCAAGATCACCATGTCCGACGACTCTGACTCCAGGCCCTGGAAAACTCCTGCTTCTCTTTCACCCCCAAGCCAACCCGCTTAACCCGACCTAGACGAGCTAGCGACTCCCCCACACTATCAAGCAGCGCCTTCTCGCTGGGCGAGGCTTGTTCTTCTTGCCCGTTTTGGTCCAGTGTGTCGAGGTAATTCGTACTATAGGTCGACTTGCGAGTTGAATCAGTGGCATTTTGGCTATTTGTAATGCACTCCGCGATGCGCACTCTGATACAGTGGGTCGGTTTGCTAAGTAGCGTCCACAGCAAGCTCATATAACTACCGGGGAGCGGGGTCACGATATCCATAGGTGTATAGCGCAGACTGACGGGGAAGATCTTGGTCTTGGGGGGCACGCTGAGAAGGGAGTTGCTCAGGGTCAAGATGCCGCGACCATTGGTGGTGGTACACTCCGGGAACAAGACGATTGGCCTGCTGGGGTACTGCTCGACGAGGGTCGAGACATCCACCATCTGGGCACCAGGGGCCGGCTGCGTAGCGGGGGAAGCAAAGGCTCGCAGAATGGCTTGGAGCAGAGAGATGCGCTCGACCTGGCGCGTGTTGGGGTAAGACGCTGTGAAGATCGGGTCGAAGATAGCTGCCAGGTAGACGGCATCAATGGGCGATGTGAAGGACGAGGCGATGACCGAGCCGGGCTGTGGTAGACGCGCTTGCTGTTGCTTCAAAGACCTGTGTGGAAATTGTTAGTTGTCAGCGGAACAGGCTATAGTTCCAATAGTACTGCACGAACCCTTTGCGCACTCCATCGACTTGGAGATCAATCCACCAGATGCTAGGAACTCCAAGGATACACCATAGAGCAGCCTTCTTGCCCAGCGATCCAATGGGAAGCCATTGTAAGATCAAAAAATAGCTAAGAGTGACGAAGATGAAGAGTGGGAGGCGGAAGCAGAAGAGAAAAATACGGAGAGGAGCTTGGAGGCCGAGTCGTTCAACAGGGATTGGGAGGAAGGGCGCAATTCCCGAGCCTATGGCACGTCAGCATAAGTATCCTTGGAGGGGCTGGTCATCATAGCGGAAATTCACCTCGATCCCGGAACTGAGAGTATCTCTCCATCTCGTGTTATGACAGCTATAGACAGAATGAGCTGGGGTATGGGCTCAATCTTCAACAAGCCATGCGCTAAGGAAGTGTTAATTTGGGAATGTCTTGGCAGCACAAGTTGCGACTCGAACTTGGGGCCAATTCTGACAGTGAAATTCGGTTGACCACCTGGTGATCTTCACATGCGAAAGGAGCTGCCACGTGATATATGCCTAAGGCACCCAGGCACATTTTCCTGGGGTATTAGAGTTGCAGGCGACTGCGGTGCAGATCGATGGACGCTCGGATATTAAGTTCTGTATTATTGGGTTGATCGTTTTCAAGCATAGATCTATATAATATAAGAGATACGAAAAAAAAGACACGTTCTAAGTGCGCACAGAAGCTATGAGTAGTATACAAGATCTCTAAGATCACGCCCTGTCATCCCCATCATAATCTTCCACCACAAAGTCCGGTGTCGGAGGACTTGGAGGCAGATTAAAAGACCAGATTGCTACTCCTACCAAACAGAAGAGGGTACTGGTCATCATCCACGCGAGGCCAATCCAGAACCCACCGAGACGCAGTCCAATCTGGAAGACGGTGGTGATGGATAAACTCGCAACCACATTTCCCAATGACTGGATAATCTCAATTGCAGTAAACAAGCGAGCGGTCTCATCACGTTCAACCAAAGTGGTAACGATAGAACGACAAAGGAAAACAAAGCCTGATCCGGATGTCTGAATGATCATGCTGGGAATTAGGGTCGCAATCGTAGGGGAGAGACCGATTCCGAGGGTTCCAACTGTAAGACAGAATATACTGCGGCGCGCGAGCCAAAGGTCTTTTTCAGTCGATGAAAGTCGGGGGTTCAGGACTCGGCTTTTGAGGAAAGGTAGGCCGAAGAGGAACAATGGGATTGACACCGTCGGGCGAGCAGATACCAGGAAGTTGGCTTGTGCCAGTGTCCATGAATAACGTGTCGATATATATTGGGTCAAAAACCAGGACGAGCCTCGGCTCAGGCGGTAGACCAGGAATGCAGTGAGAAGAAGGAGCACTGGTTTTCGGTTGAGGATGAACCGGTAGGGTTTAAGGTAGAAGCGGTAGTTTGCGCGGAACTTTGCCAGGATAGATTGGTGGGAGTAGGATTGGATGCTCCAAGATGGCGGTTCGTTCTCATGGTCGCCATTCATGTCGGGTTCTGTGCGATATGGTTCGGGTCCATTGAGATTATGTAAAGAAGTCTTTCGTTCGGGGTCATCCGTTAGATCTGACATCTCAACATGAGTTGGTTCGGCTTTCCGGGGAGGCAGTGCATGCTTCGTTTCCGGTAGCGCCAAAATGAGCATCATGCCGGCCATTACAATTGCGAATCCAGTCACCAATGGTATCCAGGGATCCAAGGTCATCAGATAAGAACTAAGAGCGCTCGAAGCGAAATCGGCGCCCATCGAGACGATGGCAAATTGAAAGAAGATGCCCGCTCTGTGCCACTCGATTAGCATCTATAAGGCTCATGTCCGAATTGGAGGAGTAACATACCTCTCGGCCTCAGTGGTTACATCGGCCATCATAGTCCAGATAATCGCAAACGAGACGACTGGACCACCACCAAACACCCACGTCAAGGCAGTAAACCAAAGCGCACGCAGGGGGAAGATATCCGAGAACCATAAAATAACAATTGTAAGGATAGAATTCAACGCAAACCCGGGAAGGGACAAAGCGAGTGTAGATTTGCGGCCACGACGGTCTGCCAGCAGACCATAGGGAATCGCCAAAAGAGCGCCTGCGAAACAATCAGACAATGGACTAGCCCTGTACATTTAAACCAACTTACTCAGCGATCCATCAAAGAACATATGGTACCCCTTCACAGCCGCCAGTTCAGCCTGCACCTCGCCGATCTTACACATGGCCTCCGGCACTTGTCCATCCGCACCGATCTTCGTCGGATCCACACCTAGGAAATACTGGCGACAGGCGATCGACTCCATGATCCGGACCATGGGGCCCTCGAGGAAAGCGAAGCCGATCTCAACCGCGAGGACCATGGCGAATAGGGTCGCCTTGAGGCGAAAGCTAATGGCGCTAGCGGAAACATTGGCTTTTACTGGACGGCTGCCTATACTGGGCTTGCTATGAACATGACGGTGGGCTGGGCCAGGGTCGCTCAGAATTGGGGAGTCGAGGAACGGGGCATCCTCGCGGTCCTCGCGGTCGAGGGACTCATGACGTATCGGGGCCATCTTGGCCAGTCATACCGTCAAGGCAGGGTATATATATAAAAGAAGGTAGTCGGATCGAAATGTATAAATGAGGGTCGGTATCAGATCATTGTCAGAATTAAGTTAGAAAGAGTGTGAGAAATGCTGTCTTACGTGTCTGGAGGACAAGTTGCCAATCGTCGCAAGCCAATCCGGCACGATGTCTTGGCGACTGGTAGTTTGTCGTCCAGGGGCTTAGTGGCCAACTAGTGCGTGTCCACTTTACTATTCTTATTCATTACTTTGCATATCAAATCCTTAGTATGTTTTTGATAGATTATTCAGGAATAAAATAAAGTACAAGATACTGATGCCTACTCCGTAGGTATAACCCCTTTATATGCAAAAAAATAAACACCCCCTTTCTTAATTATCATATCCTGCCTCTTCAAATAAGCTTCCCCGAACTTGTACTACCGCCGACAGTTCCAGGAGGAATTCGTAAAGAATCACCACATTCGTCAGTACATGACCAAGAGTTGCGACTGGAGCATCCTTAATATCTTCTGAGCCCGAGGTTTCCTCGTCGGCAGATGGAGACTGTGGATCTGCGGGTGCGGGCGGGAACGGCATGGAAAGGCGCTGGCGAAGAGCCTCAGCGGCCACGGCTCGGGCGTTCGAGGATCCGCGCGAGTCCGGAGGAATAGAGGATTCATCACGATCCCGACTAGAGAGCATAGTCGGCGAATTGGCCGGGTACGGAGATCGGCCACGGGAAGCTAGGGTAGAGGCATCCGGAGAACCCGGGTATGACGGGCGCGAGCGATTTCTTGATGCTGGATGCTCTGAGGGCTCTCGTGATCGGTCTGGCGTCTGTGGACGATCGTCCTGGTGCAATAATTCCCGCCGGGCAGCGATAAGTACATTGAAGTCCGGGAGTTCTTGTTGCCACTGTCGGACCTGGTTCACGAGTTGTTGGAGCGCTAAAGTCAAAGTAGGAGCAGCTGTGG